GGTGGGGTGGGCTGAGGTGGTGCTCGGTGCTGGGCGGGTTACGACGGCTGGGTGGGCACTGCTGAGGTTGAGCTCCCCGTGCGTCGCCGGCTGTCTGTGCTGCTGAGCCGCCTGCTGCGGCTGCATGGGGTGCTATGGTAGAGCTGGCAGAGCAGCAGCGGCAGAGCCGTGCGCGTAGGTATAAAACTGCACTCTGAAAAATTGACGGCACAACGAGTTGGGCCCCCCGTGCGGCCTCGCGTGCCCTCAACTCCCCTGGTGCACTACTACTTGACGCACAACGCGCGTGCTGCGGCGTGGAGAGGGTGGAAGGGGGAAGAGGACTTCCGGCACATCGCGTCTTTATCTGCGCGGCTGAAAGGAGGTCGCGCACAAGCTGCCTTTACGCACGCCACGCAGCACAAAAGCCACACCTCACAAAATCTGCAGCTGAAATGAGAAACAACATCACAAATATAATTCGCAAACCACCGGGCAGAAACGAAATTCACATGGCGGCGCCCTTGATGCCTTCCGCGCGCGCCACGCCCCGCCACGTCGTGTGGGTAGATATGCCGCTCGGGGATGCGCGGCGCGTACGGGATGGTCGCCGCACGCTTGGGTGCCTTCCGCCCGGCGGCCCCTCGCCACCCGAACATCCCCTTCCCCCGAACATCCCCCTCCCCTCTCACGGCCTTGTCTTAACCCTCTCCATCTCCAGCGGATCGGCTGCCGGGCCGCACCGCACCTCAACGACCCCCCACCCACCCTCGTCACCCACCCCCCGGGGGACTGCTGCTGCTGCTGTACGGGGGATGGTGAGTCTCTATTAACGGGCTGCCAATCTTTCCCCGTCGCTTTTTGTCTCCGAATCGTTGAGTGGCTGGAGCCGCGGTCCCCGAAGCCAGCACCGGGCTCAAGGGAGGCCAGCCCGCGCCGCCGGCACCGTTGCCAAATTACCCAAAACGAAAAAGGGTGGCACAAAACACACTCACACAGGGCTACAGAACACGACTTCGACTCACACTAAACCCGAACGCATAAAATGCACGACTATAAGTAGTAACTGTTATGCATAAAATGTCATGAATAAATGAGTTCAAACTGTACATGACTGTCTCTGTATCGTGTGTCAGGGCTACGACACTACAGTGTTTGTATGCCCTAGAGGGCATGGCGCCTTACGGCTTACGGGTAAAGTAGGCAACCCGGCGACCTGGTATGCTGTTGTGTTGTGGCCCTGACAAACGGTACAGCTTATGCGCAACTATGAGTGAAAATGTTGTGCAGAGCTATGGCTGCTCAAATGCTGCAAGTCTTGTGCACAACAAATGCATAAAAAGCGTGTGCTTCGCACAACTAACTGCGTCTTGTCATTGTGTTCCAGCGACGCGAGGAGGGAAGTTCCGGCCGTATGACCTGGAAGGAGTCACCCAGGCCCTGAGGCAGCAGCAACAACAGCATCAGCAACAGCAGCAACAGCAGCAGCAGAAGCAGTACCAGCAACAGCAACAGGCCAACATCCACCAGCCGGCCAAGCTGCTGCCCCCGCCCTCGCCGCAGCACTATCAGGCGCAGCAGGTGCAGCAGGCCGCCCAGCTCCTGACGCACACCTCACAAGAGAAGCTGCAGCAACAGGAGCAACAGAACCTGCAGCAGCCACAACAGCAGCAGGACAGTCAAGGGAGCCACCACCCAAAGTTCCCCATCACGAATGGCTCGCTATTTACCAGTCTTGACGGCCACATCCCTATAGTCCACAACTACAGGCGTAGACGAGGTAAGTATTAGGGCGCATTAGTGAACTAAGATATGTTAGTGACCTGGCGCTACAAAAGAACTACAATTAGTCAAACTTTGCTTGTCGTTTCAGACATGCAGATGGGCACCACCTACGTGCCGGTGCACTCCAACCAGCCCGTCATAGTGCACAACGGCGGCTTTTTCCGCGCTCAAGCCCCATCCGGACCGACCGGAGCGACGGAGGACGGAGCCTTGCACTCGCAGCAACAGCACCACCCGCACTACACGACGGCTGCGCCCAGCTCCGGCCCCACCCAGGTGACCTCGCCGTCGGAGGAGGTCAGCCACGGCCACGGACTCGGCCTGGCGCAATCGGCCAGCTGCGAGCAGCTCGCCCGAGACGTCCGGGACGCACGGGAGGCCATTGAGGACGGCCTGCTGCGGCGGCGGTTCGGCTCCGAAGACCTCGCTCACATCCGGCGGAACCACATGAGTCTGGAGAGCGCGGAGCACGACAACAACGAGCCATCCATGGACGATACCGGGGAGGACGACGACGACGATGAAGAGGACGATGATGACGACGACGAGCCTATCTACGCTACCCTGTCTTCGGGCTGCTCCGTGACGACCGCCGCCAACGACGACTTCGAGTTCTACCAGCACGCGATTGTGTCGAAGACGCCGTCGGCGCAGGCCCCGCAGCCACCGCCCGGATCGCAGTGCGCCCCACAGGGTGTTCCGCAGAGCTACCACAAGCTCAGCAAGAAGCCCCGCGGCCCGGACCACAGCACCGCGCCGCCACCGCCACCCGCGCACGTCGTGCAGGCCTTGGAGACGGTGAGCCGCGGTTGCTTCCGCCCACCACCTCCACCCCCGCCGCCGCCACCACCGCCGCCCGGGTACAAGAAGCGCCAGGGCTTCCACGAGGTGGACCTGCGCGACCACCTGACGACCGCGGACCTGCTCGAGTTCTACAGCACGGCGCCGGCCCTCGTGGACGTCAACGACATCGTCGACCCGCCGTCAACCAGGACGGCAGCGTCCGAGAGCCAGCAGCAGAACCACAAGCCGCTCAAAAAGTCGGCCTCGGGTAGGACGGTGGACTCGGACGACGACGGCAGAGGTATCTACAGCTACCACGACATCATCCGGGGCTGCCAGATCGACGACCTAGACTCGCACGGCGGACGCCAGCAGCCCGCGACCCGTCACCCTCCCGCACTGCACCACCACGGCCAGCGGCACGGGCACCACCGCCAGCAGCAGCAGCACCCGCCGGCCGCGCACGGCCAGCACGGCGCGCGGAGACCGCGGCACGGCCACCCGTCCGGCCAGCCGCCCACGGCACCCCCGGGGCACCCGCTGCACATGGGGCTCCCCGCGGGGCACCCGGCCGCGCACGGCCACCCGGCGGCGCACCCGCCACCCCCCGGGCCCCAGCACCGGCCTGCACTGCACCCACACGTAAGCGAAACCCACTGTCCCGACCATGCCCGTCGATTAGTTCCCCAACGACGAGCCGCTCCTCGCCTCCGCGTCGCCGACATGACTACCCCCACGGCCCACTGAGCTTGCAGCCCCGTCACGCCCCGCCACACCACGAGCCGCCCCGCCCCGCCTACGCCGCGCTGTCAAGACAAAGGGACGGAACGGTTCCGTGCTGCTGATTTAGCGGATCGGCGGGAGTGGGAGGGGAAACAGAAGGTAGGGGGGGGGGGAGGGGGCGATCGAGAGGACGGTCAGTGAAGCGAGGGGAGGAAGAGTCAGGGGAGGGGCGGGAGGGGCCTTCTTCCAATTACATTTTGGCAGACACAAGCCCAATAATAATGAAAAAGGCCAAATGATTTTCGGTTGTGGTGGGCGCGGGCGCACGGGCGTCGCCGGGCCGGGCGGTGGGCGGGTACATAGGGAGGGAGGGTGCAAGAGTGGCGGCAGTGGCAGATGGAAGGCTGCCAGGACGCCGTGCTCCGCCGCACCCCGCCCCGCGTCCCCCGCCACCCCCCGCCCGCACGGAGACACGACGCTTTGCTCGTATCAGCAGGGCCAGTGCGCTCCCCCGGCGCCCCGCAGCAGCAGCGGGGGCCCCCAGCAGTGCCAGACGACGCACTGCAATGGGCTCGTTCACTTCCGGCTTATCTTCATTTTTGGCGGCAGCCCGCCCGAGCAGCACGGCGCTGGCGGTGGCGGCGGCGCCAGCAAGGTGCAGGACCGGCCGCCCGACCCGCACCTACCAGCAGCAGGCGCCAGCCGGGGTGTCGGGCTGAAGAGCGGATCGTACCGTTTGTTATCGGGGCTGCCGCTGATTGGTTCGGTACAACGCCTCCTGCCCGCCTCCCCCCCGGCACTGTCGGCAGGCCGAGGCCGTTAGTGTCCTGGTCCTTGACACCGTGTTATTGACTTGGG